GAGCCAGTTACCCAATGAAAACAAAATGTGCAAGGCATTTGGTTTGCTAATCATTTCATATTACCATAACTCACCAAATTCGCACCAACAGAAAAAGTAAAAAATACTGTGAAAGTTCTCACATTCATAGCTTTGAATTTTCAGCGATTATTTGAATAAAATTGAGAATGGAAATGGGGAAAGTGTCAAAGAGACAACAACCCAACCAAAGAGCAGAAAACAGACGAAGGCCACCAATGGGTCTTCAATACAGCGAGAAAATCCCGCACCCGGAGGCGTGCTTCAGCTGGCTCCTACACAAAAATATGTACTAGTTCAGTAAAAATGGACGTCATACTAAACTCCGAAATATATAAAAGAAACTAAAATTAAAAATCATACAAGACTAAAAAAGGCCAGAGGCTCCTGACCTGGGACAGTCGCAAAAATGCGGCGGGGTTAAACATGTTTTTTTGAGATCTCAACCCCCCTAATATACCTCTAGCCAATGTAGAAAAAACAAACACACAGCAATACGCACAGCAATACGCTCAGTAAAACTCAGTTTAAAAGGAGACCGAGTCCGATGTCAGAATAGGTAACAAAAGAAACTAAACAAAACGACAATGATACATAAATTAACAAAAGACTACTAGCAGTTACTGACATGCCAGCTCCAGACCTCAACTAAACTGAATGAAAGATTATGTCTTCATCATATGAATATCAAGCACAATCCCTCCCGTTAAGGGTTTAGTATCATACCATCATAAAATATATGAGAAGAACATAACCCGAATCATGCCAACAACTGGTTTTAGAATAAATGTGTTTATTTCCGATGCAAAGACCCTATAAGTGAATCAATATTAAAGCCAAAATATGCCATCCTCAATGTCCTGACAACAGTATCGTAACTCAAGCTATTTAGTATGGATATTTTGATTGGTTGACCATAGTTTGACAATAATAAATGAATGGGAAATTTGCATTTCGTAAATTAATTTATTTTAATAACCTCGAAGTCAGAGAAATTTGGAACTTATCGAATAAAAGTATTTTCACAGTGTAGACAGGTTTTATTCAAGATACAAGATTTAATAGTAAACATTATAACACATTTAATTATGTAGCATTCAATGTATATATATAATATAACAGAAAAACGATTTTCGAAAATTCAAGTCAATTTAAACATCCCTCTAAATATTGATCAATATACTAGTAGGAAGAGTTACAGTTTACATGGTTGTTTTGACACGATTTACTTATCTAGTAAACAATTCAATATAATCCCAATGAAATAAGAGAATTCGAGATACACAGAAAAAAAGACAGATTTGCCAAATGGAGTGAACAAGCAATAAGGAAGGGTGTTTTATTGGGAGAATACCCTGAGCTTAAAGTCTTCATGTCTAATTCAATTTTGAATACAAAAGAGTTGTAAATGTTAAGCAATACCAAATTTACAAATAAAATCTTACTGCAGAAATACTAAATTGACCCATTATGGGAGTTATTGTCTTTTTTACTAATTTTAGTATTGTACCTTCTATGTTGAAAACAATTATAGATAGCCAGAAACAGCAAACATCATAAATAAAAAGCGACAAAAGATCTACAAAAATGACTAGTATTCTGTTTTTTCCTCTTATAAGAGTAAAGCTAAAATAGATACACAGTAACCGTTGACACCAAAAATGATCGGTGATTCACGATCTACAAAAATGGAGAATGAATAAATCATTTAATGACCACATATATGAGTTATTGCCCTTAAATTAACATTTTTTTGCACATTTTAGCGTTTTTTCATCTATATAAAACACTTTGATAGAAATATTCAAATTGTAAACAGCAAAAATAGCAGCCATAAATTGTCTAAAACATCAAAACATTATTGAAACCTCTAGTCACTGAAAATTTATTGAAACCACTAGTCACTGTATTGCCCTTAAATGACTATTTTTCCAAATTCAAGCATTTATGCCTTTTGTTTTGAAAAAAAAACCTGAACTTTCAAAAATTAGTATACAAGACCGATCAAATAATTATGAAATAATTTGTAATGACTTTGATTTGTTTGATCCTAATTATTGTCCATCTTGCGACGAGAGTCTCAAAGAAGACATATGCATTATACATTCTGTCAAGGTTGTGGTGTCATTAACATAGACAGAGGTTATGTCTGAGGTTAAACAAAATTCAGACATCAATAACATTGTCAAACCTTCATGAAGTTAACAAAAGTTGGACAAAAGCATCTTTACGATCATGCATCAAGAGCAAATTTGTTTACATATTTTTTTTTTCATTTTCCGTAACGTTTTTGGGATTTATACTATTTTTTAAACATCATTTACTTAGTCAAACTGCCATGGAAATTAACGAAACTTGCACAGAAACTGCTAGGTCAAGATATGGCATGCAGTGCAAAATTTGGATAACTATTTTGATCCTTCAATTAACAGTATTTTATCGATGCTATTTTTAAGCGCCAAAATCCAAATTCCTTCTATTTTAATACGATTTCACATCAGACCTGAGAAAGAACCATATTGTTCAATTATATTCATAGCTTTTGATATATCCGTGTTTGAACTACAGCAAAGTGTTGTATCATCAGCCAATTGTGATATTTTGATGCTATGTGTTTTATAATCTATAGTAATCTTAATGTCTGAGGTTTGCCTTAATCACTCGGCCAGAAAGTAAAGTAAAAAAAATTGACGGATTCCTCTAGAATTTAAAAAAAATTTCGTATACCCATCCATTATTTATAACACACGTCTGTATTCCCTTATATAGTGTTTTTACCCATGTTATGAATGATTCATTAAAACCAAATTGCATTAGAATGCTTAACATGAATTCTCATTCCAAAGATTCGAAATCTTTTGTAAAATCAACTAATATAATAGCTCCATCTATTCCGTATTATTCTGCATAGCCGATTATATTTTGGGTTTGCCTTATATTAAATCCAATAAAACGATGTTTTACATCTTGATGATTGATCTTTATTAATAAATTTAGGTAGAAGCTTTTTTAGTCTCTGTGCTAAAACATGGGATAGTATGTTCAAATCTACGTTTTATAATGATATAGGACGATAATTGTCTAAAGATAATGGGTCATTCTTTTTAAATAATAAGATAGAACACCTGTTCGTTGTGTATATGAAAGAAGTTTTTCCTGCTGACCCTTATTAAGAACTTTTACTAACATTGTCTTTATTGTTTTTCCAGAACATCTTATAAAATTCCAATGTCAGACCATCTAGATCAGGTTATTTATTTAACTTTATCATGTTAATAGCATTAATACATTATTCTATAGTAACTTCCCCGTCCCATTTTGTAAAGTCATCTACGTTTATCTCCCTTTCCATAACAGTATTAGCTACATATTTATGTAGCAAATGCGTATCTGGGTCCAGGGTTGAATATATTGTTGTTACCTCGACGTTACTTTTATTTTTTGGTTTGTTTATAGATATTTTAACTTTTCGCTGTTTTTCTAATCTTAGAAAATAAGCAATATTTTTCTCCCCTAATTCTGTCCATTTTCCTTTGATCTAATTTGAGCCCCCTTGGCCTTATATTCATAGAATGTTTCCATTTGTAACTCTTATTGCTTTATATTATTTGTTAGGTTTTTTTAATCTTCGTTTTATTGTTTATCTCTAAGTGTCGTAAAGTGCTCTAATTGACTTTCTAATTTTCTTATTGTCTCCCTTGATAATTTCGATTTTCTATTACAGCAGAGAATTGATCTGTCCCTAGTTTCAATTTTAAGATTGTACCATAATAGACAGATATTGCAACTGTCACTATTGATTATACGACTTTCGAACTAATCAATTACTCTATTGATTGTTCTTTTATATTCAATATCTTTTAAATAGAAATATTTAATTTCCAGTACCATTCCCTCTTTCAGAAGCCCCTGTCCGAAGGTTTAATACTATCCCTGGATGGTAAGTCACTTTAATCAGTGCAGGTTAAATTTTACAATTTTCAACCAGAGATTGAAATTCTTTTCCAATTAAAATAAAATCTGTCTTACTTGCTTGTTTCTTATCTTTTCTCCTCCATGTAAACTGTTGAGTGCTTTCATGTAGAAAACGCCAAATATCAATAAAATTATGATTTTTCATCAAAGCTTTTAAACTATTAACAGGCTCGGAAAATTTTGTATTTTTATTTAAACTTTTCTTATCTATATTCTTAATCGATTCACTGAAATCGCCAGCAACCAAAGTGATGCCTATAGAATTTTCCTTTATAAAATTGTTTACTTTCTTGAAGAAAGAATTTCTATCTGTTCTGTAATTTGACGATTAGAGACAAACTAAAGACAATCTTACATTATCGCAGAATGTATTAAAATGACCTCAGTATCTGTATATTTGTTGATACCGATCGCTACCCCCCCCCCCCCCCCTTTTCCACTTATTTGATGTAGTGCCTTTTCTTTAGTAAAAATGAAATCATTTTCCTTTTCAAGACTAACCTTTGTATCTTCATTAAGATATGTTTCTTGAAAAAGGGCAATGAATGACCCCTTATTCCGAAACTTCGGAGTGATTAAATGAAATTGAAATGTTTCCATTTTTGTCAAGCTTTTTCAAATTTCTATAATCTATTCAAAGAGTTAATGAGTTAATACATTTTTGATAAAAAAAATATGTTTACTAGTCCTGGAAATTTAACTGTTTTATAAGTGCAACCTGATCTCGGATTCAACGGACTGTGCTATTATTTACATTTAACATGTTGTTCATAAAAACATTTATTCAACACATTGTAAAATTGTTAAGTGATTTGTATTTTTTTCATCTTTTAACCATTTGTTAGATTGGTTTAGGGAATATATATCATCATATGATAGTTTCGTTCTGTCTAGACACAATCGTCGGATAAATTTACCCACCAGGATACATAACATTATATATTGTCATGTAATTAGAAACTGATATTTTTGGGGTTTTTTTTAAACATTGTTTATACGAGTGTGCCTTTCTAAACAAGGAAGCAATCCAAACGTCTTCCAATTGTTGTGAAGTAGGATGTCTGTATTATGGAATATAACTTTGTTTGGATTATTTTTACTGTCAGTAAGTAATCTGTCTGATGATAATATGACAAAAACTTGTGCAGAATGTGACTGCAATCGAATAGTTATAAATTGTGCAAATAATGGATTAAACAGATACCCAAATTTCAGTTTATATGAAACCGTCAGAATAATTAACTTTAGCCACAATAATCTTGAATATATTCCAGACGCTTATTTGTTACCTGGTCAATTACTTATTTTGGACCTTTCATTTAATAAAATCAACAGATCTGACAACTATTCATTATCAGAGTTAAAAACTCTTCAACAACTTAATTTGAGTAATAATAACTTTCACTCAGTATTGGACGGTAGAAAGTTACCGGAATCAGTTATTCATTTGGATATGTCAGTGAATGAGATCAATTCATTTGGACGTTATCCCTTTACAAATGCTAGAAGGCTTCAGGTTTTAGATCTTCATCAGAACCTACTGAGTTATAACAGAACGGTATTTCAACGAAATGTCTTCAATAACCTGCAAAGTTTAACCGATCTAAATATCGGTCAGAATGGATATGACACAACTAAACCCGTGTATCCCGATGAAGTTTTTAAACACTTAAAATCTCTCCGTACCTTAGTTATTGATGGCTTCTTGACCACATCATTCGGAAAAGTATTCTCAGAAATGAAAAATCTGCAGGTGTTATCTATAAATAATTTAATGCTGCCAAATCTCGGAATTGAAACCATCACGGAAAACTATTTTGAAAATTTATCTCAAATAACAGCTTTAGACATTTCATTAAATCGATACGTTCAGATTAACACATCAGGGAGCGAAATACACTTGAAAAGCATTGAATCAGGAGCAATAGCTAAATTGACAAATCTAAGGAGTTTAGATATATCATTCAATTCGATGTTAGGATTTTGTGGTTTGCGTAATGTAACACAAGATTTACCAAATACAGATATCAAAGTCTTGAAGGCAAATCAAATTTATTGTCCATACGGATTCAGCACTATTCTGTTCGTTGATGACATAAAACCACTTAAAGACACAAATCTGACGGAATTATATTTGGATGGGAACAGACTTGAGATGACAGAGGATCTAGCGCCAACTTACTTACCGAAAACATTAAGGGTACTGAGTCTTAGGGGCAACCGATTACGGTTAGACAAATATAAAGTAGACGGGATTTTGACATTAACAGGTATTAATTCCTTATTTCTGAGTTCTCAAGACCAAACCCAGTCGCGAGAAGTACACTCTGGATGGTTTGTTTGTAATGATTTCACAGATACAATTCAATGTTTATCAGACAGAAAATCTAACAAACAATCTTGTATGTTACAAAAACAAAATGAAGGCGTATCTTCACAACAACGTCGGGTCTCTTATGAATCCGACGAATTTGGTTTGATAGCTGAAACATATTCTTCCGATTATGTAAACTATGTGGATTCTGTCAAACATCCAAGGACTCGAGATATCCAGTCGTATCCACATCTAACGGCTGCAGATATCCATCCATACCCACCTCCCAACTGTACATTTGATCCCCTAATTTCCTTTGTCAATATTATTCCGCCAAATACAAAACAAATTTATTTTGAAAGTTCTAACCTCGGTGACATAATCATTCCATACTGGATGAGCTATGATACGTTAGAATACGTTTCTTTACGTGGAAATAATTTTCAGAATTTTCTCGGACCAGTTTGTAATGTTACAAACGTTAAGATTTTAGATCTTTCTGAGAACATGTGTTTAAACATCTACGCACATTTTTTCATTGGGTTCATTAATCTAGAAGAACTATTCATACAGGGAAATTTACTTGGAGATGCCATGAAAACATTTCAACACGGGGAATTATTTGAAAAGCAGTTGAAATTAAAAATTCTGAATATTTCTTCAAATCGGATAACTACATTACCAAACAATTTTTTCGTTCATGTTCCAAATATTAAAACTCTTGATATCAGTCATAATCTTCTGACTGACTGGAATGTTACGATTTCTCATCTATGGAAGCTTAATGTTTTAGATTTGTCCTATAACCAGATTACTTTCCTATCAGATAAGGCGATGGAAAAGGTTGACAAAATTACGTCACAAAATATACAAATTAAAATGATGCACAATCCTTTTGAATGCTCTTGCGACTCTCTTTCTTTTCTACTCTGGTATAAAAAACATCGAAAACGAATGGTATCGTATTCAAATGTTACTTGCAAGAATAGTAAACGTGAACTGATATATGTCAAAGACGTGCTGTTAAGCTTACAGAAAAAGTGCAGTTCTAAAGTTGGAATAATTATAGGAGTTGCTTTATTTCTATTTCTATCACTTGGAATGATTTTCGGAGCTATTATTTATAGATATAGAATTAGGCTAAGGTATTCGTTTCATATGTTCAAAAGACAATATTTTGGAGGTTACGAACCACTCCATGTCATACAGAAATATACATTTGATGCATTTATCTCATATGCCGACCAGGATCGACAATTTGTAATAAATCGTTTGATAGAATTAGAAAATAAAAAGGGAAAGAGGTTATGTATTCACCATCGAGATTTTATACCAGGGAATGAAATTGCCGAAAATATAATAAATGGTATTCACCATAGCAGAAAGACCATTTGTTTAATAACACGTGAATTTCTTAAGTCTGATTGGTGTAAATATGAATTTAACATTGCTCGCATGGAGGGAATTCGTTCACGTGAAAGGGAAAACATTATAATTGTTATCTTAAAGGAAGATATTCCATTCAAAGAATTACCAATCCGGATAATGGAAGTTATAGTAGAAGAAACCTATTTGAGTTTTGCAGAATGTTTGAATGATGATGATAGATTTTTGGACTTGCTTGCAACGGCAATTGAAAACTAAATCAAAAGTAAAGCTCAAAGTAATTCGGTTTCAGACAACATAAAAACAGTAAACTGATTTACAATCTTTCTTTCAAAATCATATACAATCTACAAAAACATATTGAAGATATTTGGTGTTATAACATGGATAAAATTACAAATTTAATGCGGACGATATATCTCTATGTAAATAATACTATTATTTTTTTCTGATTCGTAACTTAAGTATTTACCACCGACAGACTGTTATCTTATATTTCGCTGCAATATAGTCTTTTTGTGCTGAGGTGGGGTAAAGCAACATCCAATCAATCGATCAACTGTTGTATTATATGGACAGGATATTAAAAATAAGGAAAACAATAAACCAACATCTTTTAATTAGAACAATAATGCATACTGCGCATTGACAATTCTGAACATCTGAATTCCATTAAAATCTGTCTGTCTTCCACAAAAGCCTTATTGGGCACTAGAGAGATAATAAGAAGAAACCATATCACCAAGTGAGCCAACACTTCATGCAGTCAGGCCGCAAACCCATTAGAGACGCGTTTTATATAGACAACCGTACGATTTATTTTTCAACCGAGATGTCGATCGATTTGTGAGACAAGGTTATTAATGTTCATTTACTGTTTTTGTCTTGAATTAATCAAAACGATGTGAGCACCCGCAAATCACTGAAATTCAAGCAAAAAGTGTCTAGTCATAAACGGCAATACTGCTTTAACTGTATTTAGCGTTTTAAACCAGTCGACCAAAATGACTATGTAAAATATAGCTTTTGTTTGCAGAGTGATGCCTTAAGGAGCTTGGCACATTTTATCAATCTTCGAACTCAAATTCGAAAATCTAGATTTACAAATGTACAAAATGTATAGTCTAGTATACAGAGAATAGAAAGCATATCTGTCCGGCTGCCCTATGAAAAAGCTTATTTAAGACTTCCAAAGATTGTTTATCATGCTATTCAATACTGGAATAATCTTTATACATTGTTTTAAAATATTGCGCGTAACATATATATATAATATATATATATATAAATATAAGAATTTACTTTTTATTTACATAGATTACAATATGAATTCTAAAGCAACAAGTAATAAATCTTCATAATAATTGCCATACATATAAGCCATATATACAAGCAATGTGAAGATACTACAACGTAAAAAAAATCATTGGAAAAAGTATTGCGTATTATTTATAAGCACCAAGTATGCGTATTTTATTTCTTTCCTTATGTCACGCTTGAAAATTGACATGAAACGAAACAACACCAATCATAAAACTAAACATTAAAAGATCTGGTTTCAAAATGTATATAACTAGTTCAACTAACCAAACAATGCTGTGGTTTCCTATTACTGTATTATACCATAACTATTGTAACCAATACATAAATATTAAGATTTAAAACACGTAGTCACGTAAGGATAAAATATAGTTACAAGTTGATTTCTTTAAAACATTGAAATGCAATCGTGAATCTGATTGATTGTTTGGTTTTACAAATAAGATATTTTTAAATAAAGATGGATGGTTTTACCTCATTTTTTATGTAAGATGTAGAAAACTTACATGGATTATTAATGTAAAATGTAGAAAACTTACATGGATTATTAATGTAAAATGTAGAAAACTTACATGGATTATTAATGTTACTACTGTTTAATGCTTAATTCATGTTGAAGATATATTATTTCCAAAAGATTACATTACAACTTGAAAAAATAAGAGCCACTGGATGTTCCATTCTGATCTGCAAATGAGAGGTTGCTTCCTGGCTAATGTAGAAATGTAAAGGTAAACAGTTTTGGTTTTGAAAAAGTATAACGTAATTAATAACGTTTATTCGTTTTTGTAGCCAGCGTATTCCGGAACTAAAACAGTTTTGGAAAACCAATCACATTGGTTTAACTGATTTGATGGTTTAATGATTTTGAAAAAGTATAACGTAATTAATAACGTTTATTCGTTTTTGTAGCCAGCGTATTCCGAAACTAAAACAATTTTGGAAAACCAATCACATTGGTTTAAATGATTTGATGGTTTAATGATTTTGAAAAAGTATAACGAAATTAATAACGTTTATTCGTTTTTGTAGCCAGCGTATTCCGGAACTAAAACAGTTTTGGAAAACTAATCACACCGGTTTAAATTATTTGATGGTTTAATGATTTGAACAGTGCTTATCATATTCAAGATATGTTTATAAAATAATCATAAAAGAGAATATTTATCTTCCTGTTAAAATCAAACAGACAATTTCTAATCTATTCTCGTAGATCAGATACCGGTAGTCTTTTATACTATTTGCAACGACAAACATAGAGGTATGTATCAAACATCAAATATCTTTATTTCATTGACAATCAGCTTTAAATAAATAGAAAGTCATCGCCTAAACGCCAAAGCATATCACTCAGTCTTTGTGAATCGTTATCATAGCTATTTAATTGTTTTCTTAGTTTTATTTTCTTTTTATTTCTGTTTCTATTTTGATAACGATTAAAGATATTTTATCCAATATGTTCCTATCATAACGATTATGATTACTCAATGCGATAAAAATAAATTATGTGCAATTTTTATTCACAGAAGAATCATTGTTTTAACATCATAATGTTTTGGTCCGTTCTTTTTCGTTAGAGCATATGTGAATTAAAGCAAACGTTCCCTTTTTCGCTATAAATATACTCTACGGAGGGAGTTGATCAAAATGGCCTTTCTCCTCGTACAATATGAAAAAAGCTTTCTTTCGGAAAAACAAATCATGTGTTAAAAAATGAGGGTAAATTATAGTTAACTATTCCAAACTGCTATTCATTCACGCTATGCAACAACATATATATTCCTGTATACAATATAAATAAAAATTGGTAAACTGTATGATTGTCTCTGTTTAATTCGTTCATTCCATTCTATGAACTAAAGGCGATTACATGTATTTATGCCATATGTCCGTTTGTGCATGTCATTAACTAAAGTATAATACATCTTTTCATCAGTTATGCCTGGGAAAAAATAGTTTCCGGTTCTGTACATATCGTGAAAAAGAGGCGGAAGATACCTAGCGTATATTGAAAAATTCATAAGTGAAAGAGAAACTGACAACACCATGGTAAAAAATAAAGACAAACAAGTTCACAAAATACTACATGGAAAACCAAATGCTGAGCAACACGAACCTCTCACAATGGTGTTGATCTCAGGTGCTCCGGAAGAGTTCCACATGCAACAACGGTTATGTTATTCATATAAATCAAAGTACTGACGTGCTGTTTACTCGAATGAACCCGGGATCTGATGGCTGGTGAATAAATAAAAAAAATCTCCATGCAGAATACTAGCAGTTGCTTTTCAAGTAAAATATAAAACATTTCAACCACATTTAAGACGTTTACATCCTAGTATTTAACATGTAATCAGTTGTCTATGTTCTGTGGACATAGGGGATCGAAAGAGATAACAAAAATTAAATGTGTTTTGCACTGTCTGAAGACTGGATAATACATTAAATGAATGCATTTCGATCAGACGTGATTGTGTTTAAATCTGACACACTTCCCCAATACAAGACTGGAGAAGTTTAAGTGACGTTAATTCTACACTCACGTGACACTTGCTTGTGTAAACAGTATGCTTTGGTTGCCCATTTTCTTAAAAATTCACAGCGTAGACTTTTTTGTTCTTTGAATAGTTTTAAATATTTCTAATTAACTCACTTTTCTTAATCATGCTATGAACCCATCAATGCATAACATATTAAATTCATGTAATTTCTACCATGTTTATAATAGCAATTGCTTTATTTGTCTTAGGGTGAAGGTTGGCACCAGATAAAACGTTCAAACCCGCTGTATTTGTTTGCACCTGTCCTAAGTCAGGAACCTGATGTTTAGTAGTTGTCGTTTGTTGATGTGGTTCATAAGTGTTTCTCGTTTTTTATATAGATTAGACCGTTGGTTTTCCTGTTTAAATGGTTTTACACTAGTCATTTTTTTGGGCCCTTTATAGCTTGCAGTTCGGTGTGAGCCAAGGCTCCGTGAAGGCCGTACTTTGACCTATAATGGTTTACTTTTACATATTGTGACTTGGATGGAGAGTTGTCTCATTGGCACTCATACCACATCTTCTTATATCTATTGATGAATTGTTCAAACGGAAGAGGTAAGCTACAGAAGCATATATTGGTTTGCTTAGTTTAATCAGTAATGAATCAAGGAACTGTTAAAAAGAGGGAGTGGTAACTCGTTAATAAGAGGAAGAAGGAGCAAAACCTTCTATTATACTAAATACTATTATTTAAGATATGAATATGGAGATAAATAGTTTAAAGACAGCGGGTCAGCAACATATTCGTAAAAGATTTACATGCATAGACATCTATCGACTATTTGCGATATTGAAAATTCAAAGTCTAATGGAAATATCGCTTGGTTTTTTTCTGAATTAAGTGCCTGCTAAACTTCAAGGGCGTTGGAGGAAGGGGCGTCAAACTTACTTCTCGACTATTTGACTAAAGAAAAGTTTTTTTTTGCTTTCCACTTTTAGAATCAATGCACCTTTGGGCTTTCTTTCTGGCAAAATACAAAAGAAACATTGCCCAAGGTCAGCAAATGAAAGCATTAAGAAATACATCTAGTTCGACCATCCAAATGCATCCTTGTCATTCTTAAATTGTCTGCATGATAGTAACCATTTCCGAATGTGAGCGTTTAACTAGTGAGATCATGTTCCTGGAATGTTTTAACGTGCAACAAATCATTTCTAAATAGGTGAGAAATGAGGAATGGATTAACACTGATGTGCGTGTATTATATATTTACACTTGTACCTTGATATGATAGTTTATACTTTTTCGGGTATCATGATAATGTGATATGATCAGAATAGAACCCCTGCTTTGTACTGAATCGACACGCTAAACCTGATTCTTAACGTGCTTTTTCACAAGGAGGCAGTCCACATGTTTACTTGTGAGACACATTATCCTGAATCCGAGTCGACCAGTCTATGCTTTTACTCCTAAATGCCGCGTGACTAGCAGAGAAGCAGCAAAGACGTATTTCCAAGTCTTTGGTTTGACCAGGCCGGGGCTCGAACCTACAACTTCCCACACTCGAGGGGAGTACGCTACGAAAAGACCACGAGGCGGTAAAAGGAAAATAAAATTAGAATCAATTTTGTAAACCATGTGTTACCATTTGTTTAGTTACTACCTATAATGACATTAATATCAACTGAATAAATTGAAATATTTTAAAAATTCGTTTTGGTAACACCCTGAAAAATTTCTGGATTTTTGCGTATTGTGTATATCCTATGCTAATTAATAAGTATTAGTTATGTACAATCATGAGATGAGAATATATATTGTCTCCGTAGCGTTATGTTGATATAAAACTAATAGTAATCTCAGTGATAAATAAATATCTTTGAAACCCGCTGTGAGATACTACAACTTTTGGAAACTGGATTTAAATTTAAAAAATCACATAGGCTTATAATGATATCTTGGAAATACGGACGCATATATAATAATGTCTTTGACACAGTTATTATATAAGAACTATTGTACAAAATAAATGCATTCAGTTCATAATAGTTTAGAGTTGCCAGTTATGTTTATAAAAAGTGAAATCCGATCGGTCGATGATGTAACAAAACTTATTAATTTATTTAAATGGACTTTCCGTTTTGAATTTTCCTTAGAGTTCTGTATTTTTGTTATTTTACTTTTTAAAAGGTAAATAACTCTGTATAATTACGTCCATCATATTGTTAAACAAGGAACATGCATATAATTTTTAAAACTCATCCGCATGCATTATGTTTACTAAGATGACCCATGTTGTCTAGTTATATATATATATATATATCTTCACACAAAACATGTTGATGACAAATAAACGTTCTTAAAAAAATCTTTTCCTGAAATTTCATTAATAATATTCAATTCAATTTTGATGACAAATAAATGTTCTTAAAAAAATCTTTTTTCCTGAAATTTCATTGATAATATTCAACTGATATTAATATATATATATATATGAAGCCATAAATAATTCTATTTTGCACTCGATAACGATATTTATACGTAGTAAATAAAATTGAGAATGGAAATGGGGAAGCATGGTTAAAAGCACTCGCAGAAACTGCCAAAGCATTTCTTCGGATGACCTCCTCAAGGTTATCCGAGTAAAAACCGTTGATAAGGTATATCAAGTGATTAGGAATTGCACAAAAGTGGATTGGTAGTTGACTATTATCTAATTACCCTTACACATTACCAAATTTGTTAACCATCGGCAAAACCTTCTATTACACTAAATACTAACATTTAAGATATAAATAAGGAGATAAATAGTTTAAAGACAACGGGTCAGCAACCTAACCATAAAAGATTAACATGCATAGACATCTATTGACTTTTTGTGATATTGAAAATTCAAAGTTAACGGAAATATCGCTTGGTTTTCCTTAATTCAGAAATTGGATTTAAGTGCCTGCTAAACATCCGTTATATGTCAGTTTGGTATGGTCAAGACGTTTGGTTTAGTTAACATACTTTTAAGAGAGTTATCTTAGGAAGAAAGATAAGAAGTTAGCAATATCCTTTAACTCTACGTTCCGCTATATAGATGATGTTCTTTCACTAAATAAAACAAAATTTGGTGACTATGTTGAACGAATTTTTCCCATCGAACTAGAGATAAAGGATACTACAGACACAGTTAAGTCTGCCTCATATCTTGACTTACATCTAGAAATTGACAATGAGGGTCGGTTGAAAACTAAAC